TCACTGGCTAGTCAGAAGTGAATGAAACTCTTCGCCCATTAATCACTAAGCGTCTTCATTAAATCTCCGAAATTTCCCAATTTTATTTTGCCTACCGTAAGAATTATGACTTTTTAGAAGCCAGCTTTTGTGTTTAAGAAAAATTATTTTTCCAAGAAAAGTCATTAAATCCTGAGATTTTCACAATTTTGCCTTTTCTAGAGTAGAAGTTATTCATTTTCAGATGCAAGCCTGTTAAATGTGGAAAATTACTTTTTAAGCTAGAATGGAACATTTTTGCAAAACTGCGTGGTGAGCGGAAATAAAGTGAAATTTTGTAGACGTTTAGTGTAAGATATTTTATATAAACACTGAAAATTTCAGCCCGTCAGCTTTTGCAGAACAGTACTTATGAATTTTGATGGGCAGGTGGCTCAAGTTTTAAAAATCACTTTTTTAGGCAGTTTAAATATTTCTCAATACTGCACAGCAAGCGATAACTATTTTAAACTTTCCAGCTATGAAGGATAAGGGTTTTTCTAGAAATATCCAGAGTTCTAATGCTTCGTCTGTTTCAAGGCAACATTTATAAATTTTTAGAAGCAAGCCTGTTAAATTTAGAAAACTCCCTTTTCAAGGCAAAGTTTAAAATTTTCTCTAAACTCCCTCCATAAAAAGCGCTAATTGTGTGAAACTCTGCAGACATCAATGATAAGGTTGGTTCAGTAAATTGCCAAATTCCCAGAGTTTTGTCTGCTTCAAGACCGGAGTTATGAATTTTTAAAGACGCTCTTAATAGAGCTTAGAGAGAAAAATCACTCTTAAATGCAAATTTTAAAAATTTTGCTTATGCATTTAGCAAATATTGGTGCGAAAATGGACAATCGGAAATGAAAATTCCTAACTTTGAATTTAAAGCCCGTTGAAATTTGAAATGTGTTTGAAAAATTATATAGAAAACACTTGATTTTAAAAATACTCAAAAGTTCAGTAAAATTCCACTAAATTCTGACTTTTGCGCTCGTAGCAAATGTTGGTGCGAAAATGAACGGTTCAGGCAACTGCAGCCTCTCAAATAAAAAAATCTAATTTCGAATCTAAAACTAGCAGGACGTTGAAATTACTAAATGATACAGAAGACACTTGAATCTAAAATATCTAGAAACTTCATTCAATTCACACCAAATTCTGACTTTTACGCGCTTCTCAAAAGTGAGTCCTAAAATAATCGGTTTCGGGTAAGTGCAGACTCTCAAATGAAAATTCCTAACTTCGAATCTGAAGCCAGTAGGAACTTGAAATTTCTGAAACTCTATAAAAGACACTTAAGTCTAAAAGCACTAAAAATAATAAATAAAATAAATCGCAAGAAATTCTGACTTTTGCGCCCTTAGCAAATGTTTGTCGGAAAATGGACGGTTTTACGCAACTGCAGATTCTCAAATAATAAATTTTAACTTCCAATTGAAAATCAGTAGAAACTTGAAATTTCGTTTGCATTTATATAAAAGACACTAGGGTCTAAAAACGCTCAAACGTTCATTGGAATCGTATCAAATTCTGACTTTTGCGCCCTTAACAAATGTTGGTCTGAAAATGGATGGTTTCAAGCAACTGCACACTCTCTAATAAAAATGTCCAACTTTGAATGTAACATTTAGACCTAAATAAGCTTAAAATTGCACTGAAATCGTACCAAATTCTGCCTTTTGCGAGCTTAGCAAATGTTGGTTTCGAAAATGGACGGTTTTACGCAACTGCAGGCTCGGATATGAAAATACCTAACTTTGAATTTAAAGCCAGTAAAAATTTGAAATTTCTAAATTATATAGAAAACACTTGATTTTAAAAATACTCAAAAGTTCATTAAAATCGCACTAAATTCTGACTTTAGCGCCCTTAGCAAATGTTGGTGCGAAAATGAACGGTTCAGGCCTCACAAATAAAAAATCTAATTTCGAATCAAAAACCAGTAGGACATTGAAATCACTAAATTATATAGACGACACTTGAATCTAAAATACCTAGAAAGTTCATTCAATTCACACCAAATTCTGACTTTTGCGCGCTTCTCAAAGGAGAGTCCTAAAATAATCGGCTTCGGGTAAAGCAGACTTTCAAATGAAAATTCCTAACTTCGAATCTGAAGCCAATAGGAACTTGAAATTTCGAAACTCCATAAAAGACACTTGAGTCTAAAAATGCTCAAAAGTGAATTCAAATCGCACCAAATTCTGACTTTTACGCTCTTAGGAAATATTACTCCGAAAATGGACGGTTTCAGGCAACTGCAGATTCACAAATAAAAACTTCTAACTTCGAGTCTAAAGCCAGCAAGAACTTGAAATTCCGACATTATATAGAAGACACTTGAGTCTCAATACAGTCACAAATTCGCTCAAATGGTACCAAATTCTGCCCTTTGCGTGCGTTGCGAATGTTGGTCTGAAAATGGACGATTTTGGGCAACTGCAGACTCGGAAATGAAAATTCCTAACTTTGAATTTAAAGCTAGTAAAAATTTGAAATTTCTAAATTATATAGAAACCACTTGATTTTAAAAACACTCAAAAGTTCAGTAAAATCGCACTAAATTCTAACTTTTGCGGCCTTAGCAAATGTTGATGCGAAAATGAACGGTTCAGGCAACTGCAGCCTCTCAAATAAAAAATTGTAATTTGAAATCTAAAGCCAGTAGGAATTTGGACTAACTATATTATATATAAGACACTCGAATCTAAAATATCTAGAAAGTTCATTCAATTCACACCAAATGCTGACTTTTACGGTCTTCTCAAAGGTGAGTCCGAAAATAATCGGTTTCGGGAAAGAGTAGACCATCCAATGAAAATTCCTAACTTCGAATCTGAAGCCAGTAG